CAGCGTTTCATACTAGAAATAAAGATCTAAACATACAATTGAACTCTAGTGATTACTTACTTTCCTAGTAGTAAAACTGAATTAAGTGGCTAAACGTTTCATTCTGAGTGTTTTATGCGCCCATCTCCGCCATAACAATACAATAGGTTTCTAAACAATACACATAGCTAGGTTTAATAATGTTCTTTCTTATTAAGTTTAATAACAACGATACATTAGGTTTGTAAACATTGCAATAGCTAGATTTGTAAAATTACAAATGGTGAAAGTTCATCCTCATGCAAACACAATAAAATGCGAATCTACACGATACATTCATGTACTTTAAAGCTCACGTTGTTAGTATTAACAGAATTAAGACGCAAATGTTTCAACAATCTACGTTTTAAACATATGAATGCGTAAAACATTCCGAATTACATTGATAGCGATTTCAATCAATCGTACAACTAGAAATATAAATTTTCGGTTTACGTAATACTAATCTTACTGGAATACAGCAAAAGTAGAACTATATGTAACTTGGGTATAACTACTCTATTGTGTAGAACTATGTGTAAACTGGCGGCGCACATGCGGCTAAAAAACGGAGTACGAGAGGGAGAAAACGGCGCACGTGAGGAACATAATTGAACAGAAAATTCAAAATTCACCCGAATCTTTTTCGGGTTTCTCATATAATCGAGTAAAAATAACTAACGAATAACTTAGTGCGGTGCACGAATAAACCCACATACGTCGTTTTGTAGAGATTTGAAAAATGAGTAATTTCTTTTAAAGAAAAAAGTAAAAAAAAGGCTAAACATAAATCATTTTGTGCCATTTTTATCGAATGTCATTGAAGAGTCATTGAATACTAATCCACAAGTGACAGACATAATATAATTCGTAGTAATTAGTTGTCTAACATTTTTTTGAATACACATAGCTGATAAATCGAAATATTTAAGCCGTGTGGTCAGTACTCATTGGATTGCAAAACAGAGTATGAGTAAAAATAGTCATTTCAAAAGGCACCTTCAGATTAAAAAAAGAGCATGAAACAAAGCGTTATCCTAAGAAAACAGAATATTAAGCTAACACGGTCTGTTGATAGTAATCTTCTCCCGTGGAACAAGAAGAAGATGGTTTTTCGGAAACAGCTCTCTGGCTTAAACATGTCGGTGTTTTACAGTTGATTGTAAGTAGTATGTGAGAGTGAGGCACATTTAACGATGTGCCTCAATTGGCTTTGTAAACGAAAGGAAGTTCGTGATTAAATTGAAAGTCAACAGACAATGCAAGAGACATTTTTTTCATTTTTTTAAATTACTAAGAGACTTTAGACCTAAGCCCGCACATCCTTTCAGGCCAGGGACCAGAGCAGTTTTGAATTATTTGAACAAACGAGCATATGGTCAGAAAACGATGAGGCCCAAATTAAGTCATAGAGAAATCTTAGATTTTACGAAACTGCTTCCATTCTGAAGATTGCAGAGACCTGCACCTGCAGAGACGTAGTTTCTTAGTCTCTTCCATAAAAACAACTTCTGTTTCTTTTGGGTTTAATTCTTGTTAGTAATATGTTTGAACTACAACTACGCATACTAAGAACGAGACTGCTTCCATTCTGCAGACTGCAGAGACCTGCACCTGCAGAGACGTAGTTTCTGAGTCTCTTCCATAAAAACAAATTCTGTTTCTTTTGGGTTTAATTCTTGTTAGTGATATGTTTGTACTACGTCTACGCATACTAAGAACGAGATCTGAAAAGAGACAAACGCTGTCGCCAACACAAAACGAATGAGTTTTAAAAGTAACCGTAAAAGAGACTGGAAAAACGGAATACGCCGGAACTAAACCATAAGCGGGGCTAATCACCGATTAGAAAAGCCAGATGATACTCGACGAAAAGCGAAGCCGACCATTCAATATTTCCTAGTACCCGATAGAGGAAAATGGTACAAATGGTACATTGTAAAAGCTAGTAGTCGTCAGACATAAGCCGGATCCTTCACCGAAAGGCAAGAACATGTTAAAGCGAGATGAGAGGAAGAAGTAGAATCCTATCCGTTACATGGATTTAAAGTATATTACTAGCTAACGTAAAAATGTATGGACAAATGGCATTTTTGTTATTATTTTCAAAAGGTAGGGGCTACATTGTATTTCCACCTAAATGTGTACCATTCCTACAAGTTTCCTTTTTATGGTACCAGTATTATAATTAGTATTGCTAAATGGTCCATTTTAGAAATTCTCTCAAAAAAAAAAACTGTAATAGTTACTTCCACCAGGATTCAAAACCGGGACCTATTGTTTTTGTACAAACGAACGTATATATTTCTATGAAACACAAAACACATCATGACATAAAAAGAGATTGTATAGATAACCCTAAAAAAATGTGTAATTTGTGATTAATATGAGGCAAACTATGCAAAAGTAAACAATTTTTGAAATTCCGGAAGGGTTCGTAAAAATTCAGGAAGGATATATACATATTCAGGAAGGCCTTCCCTAAAAAAAAGAGATTTTATAACTTCGCAGTAGCTTGTCTTCCTAAAGTTGGGACATAGATGAGTTTGTGATACATTACCCCTCACTAATAGAGTAATATGTGATACATTTGACAAAACATAAATAAAGAGATTCAAAAACACATTTTTAAAAATTTAGAAAGGATTTCATAATGTTTAGGAAGCCGTCATTGAAGTTTATGAAGGTCTATCTAATTTCTAAAAACAACCTCGATGTGGCCAACTTTGGATTTGTAATTTGTATGTACATTACGCTTCACTGATGGAGTAATCTCTGATACATTACAAAACATAAATAAAGAGATTCAAAAACACATTTTAAAAATTTAGGAAGGATTTCATAATGTTTAGGAAGACGTCCTTGAAGTTTAGGAAGGTCTACCTAAATTTCTGAAACCAGCATCTATGTAACCAACTTTGGATTTGTAATTTGCATGTCGATGGAAAATTGTAGCAAACTCTTGACGAAGCATTAGCTGCAGACTCTACCTGTGGAAAACCTGTAAACTACAAGCCGAAGGAGCCGACGATCGAAATGATGACGACGAACTTATCTTACTCTTAACAAATATTTTTCTCATCTTCCTCTACTCAACAATCTCTTTAATCCCAAAACTATTTCCACACAGCTTTAGCTTCCACAAAACGATAATTGTTCGGATTTGCTATTTATCAGAGAAGGAACAAGACTCTCATCATGTATACTCAATATTTTCCCAAATTTAAGAGCAGTTCTACGCATTTCACACAGTCTAAGAGCTAATCTTTCTGCACTTTCTTTAGACATGAAAGAAGATAGTGCATGTTGATTGTCTTGTGTCATTGGTGTCCCATTTACCATCCTATATGTAGATTCTTTAAGTGCTCTCTAAGCAAGAGCAGCTCCTAAAATTGAAAAACTTTCACATATCACAAAATTCAACTTGTTAAAATTGCTTCAACATAAGAATCTATCTAACCCAACTAAGCTCTTGCCGTAAGTGTTGATGGAACCATCCGTTCTCTAGGTCTCCGTCTCTTCACCGGATTTCAAACTCCAATATTCTCGCCGGCTTCATCGCCTGAAAGCTTAATCTCTTCTTCTCTAATTAAAATCTTAGAGAAGCTAATCAAATCGAGGCCCAAACTATATCCACACCAACAAAATCAAGAGCTACACTCACAAACCACATAGACCATCACGATTCCTAAAGCTACACTCAGATTTCACATTCAACACGATTTGTGAAGAATAAGAAGAAATTAGAGAAATGACAATCGATTAAGGACATGATTGAAGCTATGAGATCGGAAGCTTCATCGGGATTGAATATTGGAGATCATAATCTTCAGCGGAATTGAAGATCCAAGATCGGAAGCTTCACCGGAAAGCACAATCGTAAACTCTCCGTTGGTGTATTTAATTTCGGTGCTATTTTATGTTTCTTATCTTAATTAATTTAATTAATTCTTAAAAATTAAAAATAAGTTAAATGAGTGCTATTTTTGTCAAATAAACTTGGAGATGCTATTTTTGTCACAAAAACTTCATTTAGGGCTATATGAGACCATTTCTCTTATAAAAATTAATAGTGTTTTTTTTTAGGGAACTTTACTCAGGTGTATAACATTTTATATGAAATTACCAGATACATACAGATTTTTTTATTATTACTATCATATTTCGGGTATATTTTTTATACCCAGCGTGCCCCTGCTAAACGTTACAGGAAAAAACGTAATTACAAAGAATGCCACTGCCATGTCAGCAAAGCCGCGTCGCCACGTCAGAAATCGCTGACGTGTATTAATGAACTCAGCCGTAAAGCGATACAGCGGCAGTGACGGCTGAGTTACGGTTAGTAGCGGCTGATTTATGGAAAATGACTGAGTTATGAGCAAACGGCTGACTTACGAGTATAACTCAGACATTAGTTACGGCTGAGTTAATGAAGTCGGTCTGAGTTATGAGAAAATAGCTGACTTTCGAGCATAACCCAGCCTAAGTTACGGCTGAGATTTCACCCGTTGGTTGATTTGTCAAACTTTTGGCTGAGTTATTGCTTCGATACGGCTGAGTTAACTTTTTCCGGTTGGCTGGGTTATCAAAGACGGCCTAGTTATGTGATGTCGTTACGGCTGATTTAGCCTCTAGTGTCATAAATCAGCCGTAATGAGCTGAGTTAATGGAAAACTCGGCCCAATTACGGCTGACTTAGTAGCGAAAGATTAATTACTAGAATAGCTTGCAATTACGGCCGACTTATCAAACGATACGGCTGAGTTAAAGATTTTCGGTTGAGTTACGACATTAAACGGCTGAATTTGGCTGCATTTTTTTTTATTTTTAATTACTGTAATAGTATGCATGTTGCGACTGAGTAAAATTTTTGTTTGATGGCTGGTTTAATTCGGTTGATTAACATTTTCGTTTGGTGGCTTACTTGCCACTTCATCAATTAAAAAAATGACGTGGCATGCAACATTCCATGTCATCATTCCATGTCATCATCATCAAGGGAAATACGAAAGGTCTTTTCTACTACTCATCTTCTTCTTCATTGTGTCGATCTTCACCTGTGTTTTTCCACATCTCTGGAACTTAAATTTCACTCGACTCGTCATCGTCTTACTTCTTCATTTTCGTTCTTCCTTACCCCGATATGACTGATCCGGTTTCGGTAATTGTTGTTTCCGGTAATTGGGTAAAGAAACACAAATTCGTATTTAACACCGACGATAAAGGGTGTAGAGTTGTGCAGATAGATGAGGAAACAACGCACGACAAGCTTGTGAAGTTGGTGCTCGATGACTACGGATTGAATGAGTTGAGCCATCAGTTAAAGCTGAGCTACATGTTCTCGAAGAAGGCTATGAAAAATATGTCGCTTGATACTCCACCAGTTTATGTCTCCAATGATCGACAGTTGCAATGTTTTCTAAGCCTACGGAAAATCGATCAACTACGTCTCTGTGTGGAATTTACGGTGAAAGAGTATATGGAAATTAGTCGGAAGGACGGATCGAGAGCAAGGATGAAACGGCCATCCAGTTCTGGCTCAAAATTAGAATCTAGATACGAAGTTCCCGATGGTGGATTTGAAGGTTTCTGTTATGATTATAGTGAAAATCAAGACGAAGAAGCAGGTGACCAAGAAGCAGGTGACCAAGAAGCAGGTGACCAAGAAGCAGGTGACCAAGATGCAGATGACGAAGAAGAAGATGATGAATTTTCAAGCCGATTTGATGTTTTCGACGACTCCGATGGTGCCTCATCTGATGATGATAACTTTACTGTATACGGCGATCCTCAGAATAAAGACGAAGATTCACCGTCTCTGCCTCCTAAGAAGAAACCTCAGAACATTGAAATGGCCGGATCGGCTGGGGACTCGGAGGCTTTAAGGTTGGAGTTGTCTTCGCTAAACCTCGCTGTAGGTCAACGATACCGGAGCAAAGAAGATTTGGTGTATCGACTCAAACTTCTTGCGGTAAGGGATGGATTTGATTTTAATGTACCAGTCTCAAATCCGACCGCAGTGAATATTGTTTGCTGGGTTGATGAATGTCGATGGAGAGTTCGTGCATCTACACAAGGGGATGAGCCACATTTTTATGTTCGTATATACGATTCGGAACACACATGTTCTGTGACGGAACGTTCTAATCGATCCCGACAAGCAACACCTGATGTTTTGGGAGTTCTTTACATGGACTTTCTTGGTGACGTTGGTCCGGATGTTAAACCTAAATCAGTCGGAGTAATTATCAATAAGCATTTTAGAATAAAGGTAATTACTGTGTCGCGGCTGACCTATTGATTACTATACGACTGACTTTATCTCATCTCGGCTGATTTATCAATACATTCCGGCTGACTTATAGTTTACGACTTATATATATTACGGCTGACTTATGTTTACATTGTGGTTGACTTATATCTTACGGCTGACTTATGTTTACATTGTGGCTGGGTTATATATATTACGGCTCACTTATAGTTACGATATGTTGGTGTCAACAGATGGGTTATTGGAAGTCACATAGGACGCTCCTGTATGCAAGGCAGATCGATCAGGGAACTCCTGAGAGTAGTTTTGAAGAACTGCCTTCTTACCTATACATGATAAGACGCGCAAATCCGGGTACAGTCACGCGTCTTCAACTTGATGAGGAAGGAAGATTCAACTATGTGTTCATTGCTTTTGGTGCCAGTATTGCTGGGTTTCCTTTCATGCGCAAAGTTGTTGTTGTCGACGGTACGTTTCTCCATGGAAGTTACAAAGGGACCCTTCTAACAGCCCTAGCTCAGGATGGTAATTTTCAGATTTATCCAATAGTTTTCGGTATTGTTGACACCGAAAATGATGATTCTTGGCGTTGGTTTTTTACGCAACTCAAAGTTGTTATCCCTGACGATAAGGATCTTGCGATAATCTCGGACAGACATAAGTCAATAGGGAAAGCAATTGGTGAAGTGTTTCCGTTGGCTTCTCGTGGAATTTGCACTTACCATTTGTATAAGAACATTTTGGTGAAATTCAAAGGAAAACATTTGTTCCCTTTGGTGAAAAAAGCGGCAAGGTGTTTTAGGCTGAGTGATTTTAATGAGGCGTTCAATGAGATTGAAGCGTCTGATCAAAACCTACATGGATACCTCCAACGAGCTGGTGTCCAAATGTGGGCGCGTGTTCATTTCCCGGGTGAAAGGTACAATTTAATGACTACTAATATTGCGGAATCAATGAACAAAGCACTGTCAAAGGCCAGAAGCCTTCCCATAGTTCGACTGTTAGAATCGATACGGACTATGATGACCAGATGGTTTGCTGAACGGAGAGAGGACGCGAATTCGCAGCAAACAACGCTCTCACGAGGTGTTGAAAAACTGTTACAGGTAACTCAGCTGTAACTGCTTACATAAGTCAGTCGTCAAACGTTCTTAAACCAGACATTATTTCCATAAATCAGACTTAACGTATTTTGTTTTTTTTCCCCTCTAATAGGCCCGTGTCACCGCGGCAAGACTTATGGGTGTACAAACGATTGATGCTTTACGCGTGCAGGTAACTTATGGAACACAGTTGCATATTGTAAATGTGGATGCTAAAAAATGCACATGCCGTCGTTTCGACCACGAGAAATTACCATGCATACATGCAATCGCAGCTGCAGAGCATATGGGTGTGTCTCGTATATCCCTGTGCAGTCCTTACTATAAGAGAAGTTACTTGGTTAGCGCATACGCTGCTCCAATCATGCCTTCCGATACGGCAATCCCTGTTCCTCAAATTGTAGTTAACCAACCGTGCTTGCCTCCGATTGTTGTAAACCAGCCAGGAAGGCCCAAGAAAATTAGGATTAAATCATCTTTGGAAGTTGCCATTGGAAACAAACGCCCTAGGAAGCAACATGTATGTTCTCGATGTAAACAAGTTGGGCATAATGCTAAAACTTGTCAGTCGTAGTATTGTTTGTATGAATTCTCTTTTATGTATTTGTTAATGGCGAATTAATCTTAGTAACTCAGCCGTATATCGTTATAATAATTCGGCCAAACCACGAATTCATCTGTGGCACATCAGCCGTGTTGTTGTCATAACTCGGCCAAACCACGAATTCATCTGTGGCACATCAGCCGTGTTGTTGTCATAACTCGGCCAAACCACGAATTCATCTGTGGCACATCAGCCGTGTTGTTGTCATAACTCGGCCAAACCACGAATTGTTATGTGTTAAATTCGTGATTTAATTTAATCTGATGTTATGTGCACATCAGATGTATTTAACTTCTTCTATTCACTCATCTTTTAATGATCATAAAATTAGCTCATGTTTGTACCCTAAACCCTAAACCAACACCATCTAAACCCTAAACACACAGAGGCCATACTTAACTTCCATTCCTAGAAAGTCGATCTATATAGAATGTGAATGGGCTGAAAGTGTGAAATTTTTATTGTGATTTAATGTTATAAATCTGGACATTATTAGAACCAGACATAATGTTAATATACAAATGGCCCTCTAAATAAAATGATTTTTTTCATAACTCGGCCGTAAGTAGTAAATACCTCAGCCGTAACGTATTTGAATTATTTTGAATATTTTTTTAATTGTTTTAGTTATTATAATAATTTTTTTTTGTATTATTTTCAATTATTATGTATTAATTTATGACATTAAAACGCGTGTGCGTGTGAATATGTCAGCAATTATTGTTGGCGTTTCCCCAAAAAACACTTTCTGTAATCTCGAGACTGTATATAATAAATTAATATCTGAGTAACTCAGCCTTAAAACGTTATAATAACTCAGCCAATTCTCGTTTTAATCTTCAATATACAGGAATGGCTTGAACGACGTCGTTTGATCAGTGCTTTAGTAGATACGACTATATTGATTTAGTGATTTATTTATTTTTTTAGTAATCAAAGAGAAGATGATGGCGTAGAGATCTCTACTAGGCGGCGACTCTAGGGTTGATGAGAAAACTGCTTCTGAAGGAAATGAGGTATTTTTTTCCCAACCGTCTGAGACGAACAAATCTTTAGACATCTTTATATTGTCTGTCGTGTTTGTGGTAACGTAGGAGCTGGATCGTATGGAAATAAGGATGAGAATGAGGTACGGCGAAAACCGGAGGCGCGATAAGGGCGTTCCGATCGCGTGTGATTGCAGTGCAGCGGTTCTCGTTGCCACTTCTCGTGATCCTAATACAAGAGGAAAACTTTATTTCAGTTGTCCGTATGAAATCTCAGACGTAGGCATCTTTTAAGATTTATTGGGTCTTGATTTTGAGTTCTGATTCCTTTTTTTTTTTTTTTTTTTTTAATTTTGGGGTGTAATATGGGTTATGTATGATTTTTAAGGGTCCTGGTCGTGGCTGCGGTTTCATGAGGTGGTGGACTGTCGCATTGTGTGACGAATTTGAGAAGATAAAGGAGGAGAAGAATGAGATGAAGCAGGATTTGGATGCAGCCAAGAAGCGCATCGAGGCTCAGGAAGAAAAGATCTTTCTTATGGAAGAGAAATTTGAAGCGCTAGAGAAGAAGTATCAGAGCTTGAACAAGTATCTGTGAGCTTAGTTAATTTTGGTTTTTTATTTGGACTTCCTTGTACTGTCTGGTTTTTTTTTTTTTTTGTACTGCATTGTACTGTCGGTATTAATCTGTATGTCGCTACCATAACTCGGCCAAACCTCGAATTTCTCTGTGTTAATATAACCACAAATTAATATACGATGAGTCAGTCATATCTTTATATTAACTCGGCCAAACCACAAATTAATATAGGATAAGTCAGTCATATCTTTATAAAAACTCGGCCAAACCACAAATTAATATCACACGAAATTAAACGCAGATAAAATAGAGTTATAATTCACATGTAATAAGTAAACCTTATTACATATGAACACATCCAAAAAAAAAAGTAACAATTGTTTCAAAAAAAGGAAATTTTTGTTTTCCAATTACGTTACCAAAAGAAAAATAAATGAATATTACTTATAAAATCTTAACAGTATTTTCACATGTATATTTATTGTTATAATGGTATGGTGCTATTGAAACTTATCTAATAACTCTAAAGTCAGCCGTCAAGCAACCTTTCGTCTTCCGTTAAGCATATAACTCAGCC